TCCATGTTATTGTGGTCTCCATCCTCCCTACTCAGGCCTCCCACTGTTGGCATATATCCCATCAGCCACTGTGCCTGAAATTCAATCCCGAGCCGCATTCTTGTCTATGTCACCTGCCTTTGTCGCGTTGTGCCACACAGAGGTTAGATGGCTAGAGTGACTCCTGCAGATTTAAACCATGGCCCTGATCCAAGCAGAGGTAAGGACCATAGTTTGGCCTTTAGGAGGTTATCCAGAAGAAAACAACATCATATTTCCATTAAGGAAAATGCAAACATTTCTCAACTGCCTGAAGAGAAGAACAGGACGCACTGAGTGGGAAAGCAAAAGCCTCTTGGAGTCAAAGCAAGTTTGCAACCCTTGCAGCTTTCCAGGCTTCGACTGAGGAAGAAAAAACCCGGATATCCAAAGGTGGCAGTAACCGTGCACAAAGGTCCACGGAGATTCAGGGACCGATCTTTGGAAAGCGTTCTCTTGCCTGCAACGTGGGCTTGGAACTGGACTGGGGCAAAGCAGCAGATGGCGGGAACAGTGGGGAACCTTCACGAGGAACTGCAAGGAATCTCTGCGCAGAGGACGCAAGGACAGACCCTGACCCTAACCCTCTTCCAGGTCAAGCAGAAGTCCCCTAAAGGAGGGTGGGTCCAACTCCCAGTGGGAGAAGAGAAGCAATGCTGCCTTCTTCTAGGTGCTACGGGGCCCTTCTGCCTTGAGTTCGGGGCTTGCTGCTCCCTCTCGCCGAGGAATTGCTCAGCTCAGGAACAAAAAGCAACCATGGGCGGCAGAAGAGAAAAGCAAAGGTGCATGCCACGGAAAAAGTCTTGAAATGGGCTGGTGGAAGATCCAGACAAGGTCACAGGAAGGCCTTCCTCGGACAGGGCGTGGTCCAGCGACGGAGTCCACTTCCGCGAGGCGTGGAGCTGCGACCGGGCAGCTTTAAAAGGGGGCTGGATGAAACCAGGGAGGAACAAGCTGCCAGTCCTCATGGCCGTTTGCCCCCTGCAGCATCAGGACTGTGTGCGTGACCTGCTGGGGAACATGGGTGGGAGGGGGCTGGTGCACTCCTCGCCTGCTAGGGGACAGCTGGCGGGCAGCTGTGTGGGCGGAATGGTAACCGGATGGTCCCCTGGGCCTGATCCACCACGGGGATAGCCTCACTCCCACGGACAACGTGCAACGGACACCAAAGGGAAGTGCAAATGCTATTACTAATTCATTATTATTGACTGCATTTCTAATCTGCCTGTTAATTAATGTTCTCACGATGATGCTCCCTCCCTTTCTGGGAGCTGAATCCGAAACTACAATAATGGCACAATTAGCAATTCAATGGTATTTGTATCTCACACTTCCCGTCGGAGGTCAGGCCAGCCCCCTTAACACTCACAGCGACCCTCTGAGGTCGTCTAGCTGGAGATCGGCCTGAGGTTACCCACACAGCTTCATGTATCATATTGTACCATTATGGATTGTGTTTATGGCAGTATCTGCTTGGTTTATTGGTCATATTATGCATATTGTTGTCTTATTGTTATTTATTGTTTTGATTCTATTTGTTTTGTTATCTGTCTGCTCAGAGAGACCATAATAATAAACGAACAAAAAATGAAGCGTCTGGGTAGGGATCTGAAACTGGTTCTTCTCTGCCCAAGTCTGGCACCTAACCCAGCTCATCCACCTGCCCCAGGTAGCATGGCTGCTGTTGAGGAATGCTGGGAACTGTAGTTCAAAGCTGGAGTACACCAGGTCGGGAGGGAGGGATATGCTAACCACAACCCCGAACTGGCTCGCCATGAACGGTGTCGTGTCAGCATGTTGTTCTAGGGGCCCAGAGGATCTGGGTTCAAGTTTCCAATGACCAAGAAGCTCATGGGGTGACGCTGAGCCACTCACACATTCTAAGCCTTGCCTACCTTGCAGGATTATTGTGAGTATAAAGTGGAAAGTTATGGCAAGGAACTACCTTGTGTTCCTTGCCAGAGGAACAAAAGGTGGGAGAGAAATGCAATTGTAGATAAATACATAAAAGGTTTCTAGTCCTCACTAAGCTATGGAGCTCGCTGGGTGACTTTGGGCCAGCCACTCCCTCCTGGCCTAGCCTACCTCACAGGGGTGTTGTTGTGAGGACAAAATGGAGCTATATCGGCCACACTGGGTCCCTCACAAGAGGAAAAATGGCAGATAGAAATGCACTGTGATGCTAATAATGATGGTACTGATGATGGATCTCACCATTCCTGGATCTGTTGGCAGGCATGGGCGCCTTTCTTAGCCAGTTGCCTTATCTGGATGTGCCTTGTACGTCTCTGTCTCTCTGGGGGAAGCGAGCGTGGCACCCCATCTTGCAAACTCAAGCAGCAAAAACAGGTTCGTGCGCGGACAAGAAGCCCCCAGAGGCACCACAGGCTCCAATGTTTTGCACCACCAGAGCGCGAGTGTGTGAGTGTGCACATGATTTTAATTATTTAATCCTGGTTGATCCTGCAGTACTTCCGACCATCACGCTCCATTTAAGCAGGTCTAGCAAATGGCCAGTTTCCAGATTTTATTCATTGTTATATATTATGTTTATAACCCTTCATTTTTCCTTCTAAGAAACTAAACCTGCCCTCCACAGACTTCCTCTCCATTTTATCCTCACAACAGCCCTGCCAGGTAGCTTAGGCTGACCGGCTGTGACTGGTCCCGAGTCACCCAGCGAGCCCTGTGGCCAAGCGGGGGCTAGAACCCGCATCTCGCAGATCCCAGTCCAGCCCTCTCCTGCATTACCCTGAAATCTTGCCTTGTTTCCAGAGACGGTCTCAGAGACTTGGGCAACTGAAATCAGCTGCTCAATGTAGAGGAGTTAAAAAAAAAAAAAAAAAAAGCTAAAAAGGACAATTTTACAGTCCTTGCAGTTCCACAAAATCTGCCACCCGAGGTAGGTTGTGGGTTTGGCTAAACAATAGGCCCCAACCTCAATCTCACTTCCTTGTTCTCCAAAACATAGAGAGAATTTTCACAGTTTGAAAACCAGGGGTCGATTTCTTCTTCTTCTTTAGTAAGCACAGAATTTATTTGGAAATAAATGAAACAATGTAGATGACAAAAAAGAAGCTAACACCAGCAATACAACAATTGACACAGCAACAATTATGTCCTCAGGGCACCTTCCCCATCTGGGCAGTTGTTGGCCTGCAACTCCCCGAATTTCAACCACTGGCCGTGTTGGCTGGGGCAGATGGGAATTAAAGTCCAGCAATATCTGGAAGACAGTAGGTTGTGGAAGGGTGTCTTGGCTGATCATAGATAAACTCATTGGACAAGTTGATTAAAGCTACCGAAGCACACAAATTAATGTGAGAGTCTAAAAGTGCAGCTAAATCAGTCAGAAAAGTATATAATTGGAACCTGATGGTTGCAACGCGATTGCCACTAGCTTTTAAAATTCAGGCATTTTGAACCCTGCCTTTCAAGTACAGTTTTTTAACACAGCGTGTGTCAAACACATCAATAAAATAAGCAGCAAGAGAAACGCAAAGGAGAACTATCTCAGAACAAAATTAAAAGCAACAGATATTAAGCACGGATACGTTCATGGATACATTCTTTTTTTAAATTATTGGAAAATAACACTTCTTTGTCAGAGATTGAAAGAGGAAGGCACCTGTTGCAAAGCACCCAGAGCGCTCCTTCTATTTGGCAGTAGAGAAATGCAACTATTAAAATAATATTATTAATAATAATAAAAATAGAACGACACAGATCCTCATTTAGCCCTCCCTGATGAAAGCATTTCATGACGGGCGTCTTCCAGAATGCTACTTCCTTGTCAGTGCAGTTTTCCCCAAACGGCCAAGAGTCTGTCTCAGTAAATGCCAGGCTTCGGAAGAGCTGACTGCCAAGTTCGTGGATGCTTTTCCACATGGGAAAACCTTTCTTCTGGAATGGCATCCCGCATGGCTGGAGATGAATCTTCAGCCACGCCAGCACAACCCCCTGCAAAAGCCTGGCTTGCTAGCAGCGTTGGCACTGAGCCGACCACACATAAAGGAACTGCCTCGAAGTTGCAGCAGTGTAACCCGTAAAATCTGGATTGTTTCCATGCTGGGTCTGAAATATAGTGCATTTCCTGAGCCCTAACCTCAGCTGGTCTCCCACCACCTCCCCAGCTGCTGAGGATCCATGCAGAAGGCTACACGTATGTGATGGAAGTGGGGAAGGGAGCAGATAATGCAAAACCCAGCAAAATGTGTGTTAAAGAACTGAAGAAAGGCATGAAAAGTAAATATAGGCATGGCTTGTGAGAAGGAAGTTATTCAGAAAGGAACGGTTCACACTGCAACAAGGAGGGGCATACCACTCTAAACGGGAATGTGAAACGTTTTCCCAGCGTTGTGCCTAACTATTCTTAAAAGGTACCAGCATCAACCAGGACTTGGGGATTTTTTAAATCCTTGGTTACAGTGGAGCATCTGGCCTTGTTCAGATGTCACAACAACCGACCCTGGGTGAGAACAACCCTAGAATGGCCCGTGGGCGCTCAAGTGGGTTGTTTGGAACGCAGTCACCCAGGCTAAGTTTCCACAACATGTTGATCCTTCACTAACAAACCATGATGCGTGGTTGCATCCTGTGAACCCGGTCGGTGGAGCTGGCCCCAGCACAATTGCACTTGGGGTGGGCAGAAGGTGGGCTGAGCAGTAATTTTGATGAGATCGGGCAGCTAAGCAGTTGCTTCTTTGCTGGTCTCTGACAAAGCTGGGCTGTAGTTTTCTCCCACCTGTCCAGCTGCTCAAATACCACAACTAAAATGTGGACTCAGAGGCAAAGGGCTATTACCCCCACACCATTAAGCACAAGTATACGGGGGTGCAGGGGGGGTGTGCAAAGCTGCCTTAGGCAAATCCCACCAGACATTCACTCTACTAGAAAGAGGAGGATGTAGAGACACTGAATTGCTGGCCATCGCCCAACTTAACAGCGAGGCAGAAAAGCGCAGCTGGGTGGAGCTAGCGTACCTGTTCCAAGGCCGGCCGGGTTCCATCTAGCCATCTTGGGGACCCCTCCAAACAGACTAACGGCTCCTTCCACAGCTTGGCATCGTATGTTTAAAAGAAGGTAAGATGCACAGACTTGGGGGTAGAGGAACACACAAAAGAGGGAGAGAGAAACTCGTGTTTCTTCACAGGAAAGGGAGTGGCAAAGGAAATGTCATAATCAGATGCAATGCTGAAGTCCTTTTTTGGGAAACCCCGTCGACTCAGAATCTTTCATGAAGAGAAAGGGAAAATGGGCCACTCAGAAGAGATGGAGGGGAAGTCGGGGAGAAAAAGGAAAGTGTGGCGGGCCGAGAAGGGTGAGGTCTGGAAGCAGTAAGCATGTAAGCGGGGAGGGGTAAGCTGGTCCAGCAGCCTCTTCCTCATCCCCCACAATCTCACCACCACGGTAACCCCAGTGGAGAGAGACCGACGAGACAATGTGCATCTGCTGAGGGGGAGGGATGAGCGCCGTGGGTTCAAAGCAGCTTTTGTGCATCACGTGGAAGGAAGGAAGGACGGACGGAAGGAAGGAAGGAAGGAGGAAAGCCTGAATGCTTGGAATGACAAGGTGCCCTTCGCGCCCTGGCCTTCCCAAGGGAGCTTTGCTCCCCCGCTGTGGCACTCATCAACCCTTACTCCACAGGGACTAGTGGACTGCCTTGATGGTCAGGCTCACCTGCTCTGGACAGAGCTGCACTCTAGTCAGAGGATCTGGCGGGTGGCATGCAGGTCCGTGCTGGACCCATTATTCCCGGATTCTCTGGCTTCGGTTGACATCCGCTTGGTTGACACGAGACTGTGCCTGCTACTGAAGGCGGAGGCCTTCCCACTCGCACCCGGGTGTCACGATTTCCCACTCAGACTCCTTGCAGAAAAGGGGCCATTCATGCAGAAAGAGGCAACCTGCTTGAGAAGTGGCGTGGAACTGAATTCGCAGCGTTTCACCCATTTTAAGGCAAATACCCCGGTTTGCACGTGGTTTCCATGCCCACTTCAATTGTGCCGGTTTGGGCTTTCAACACCTTAAAGCAGCCCAAGTCCAGAGTAGCAGTTCTCCTGCTTGACTACACGTCACTCCAAAAACAGAAGGGACATTTGGAATTGAGCAACGAGTTCAGCTCTCAATTTCCTGGCTGCTGGGCGAAAAAGGAATCACGCTAAATCACACCCTGTTCCCTCACCCAGCAGCAAGAAGCAAAATCCACAGCCTCTCTTAGCCGGATCGCTGGCAAACGTTTTTCAAGCGCAGGGCGTTATAAAGAGGGCACTGAGTGCTATAATGGGTAGTATCTCCAGCGGCCGTTGACAAAAAACGCCAAGAGCATGCTCTGGTTGCAATTTCTTGCAGCGGCCGTCTATGAGTCGCCCCCCCCCCCCGCCCCATCACTCCAATGGCATCATCTGCAAAGTTCCCACGTAAGGAGAACTGAAGAAGGTAAGAAAAGCCCTGCTGGATCAGGTCCAAAGTCCATCTAATCCAGCACTTTGCTCATATGGTGGCAAACCAGCGGCCCAGAGGTCCTCCCCAGCAGGCCGGGTGCAAGGCCTGTCATGCGCGGAGCCGGCTGGAGCCAGGGGTCAGGCTAGATGGCCCGGGGTCCCCTTCTGACTCGTGCTGTTTCGACGTTTCGAGACCTCCTTCAGCCCGAGTTCCTCAGCAACTGGCGGTGTGCGCAGGCAGGCCACCTTGGGTGAAGGAGGGAGCACACGGCCAGCGAGGCCCCAGCTCTGATCCCCAGCATCCCCGACCAGGGCCAGAAGAAGAGGAATCCAGCCTGACCTTATGGACCCACTGCCAGCCCGTGCCAGCAACACTGAGCTAGATGGACTGAGGGCCGACTGGGATCGATGCCGCAGCTTCTGCTGCCCCAGGGTGGCCTCTGCCAAGGGCAGGATAGCACCCACGCTCCGGAGGTTTCCTCCCAGCTGCCTTGCTGGAGGCGGCTGAAAACCTTCGCTGGGTCACGGGGGCTTCTGCCTGCTGGAACCACCTACATTTTGGCTTGCCTCTGCCCCGCCGGCTTAGCTCCCAGCACTGAACTATCTTGATGACTTTCTGTTACTTCAGGCTCCTTTATTTTATAAGTTTCTCAGATTCAAAGCTGCACACTGCTCAGGTTTCATTTTCCGGAGGTTGGTTTAATCTTCTGAATGTGGCCCGAAAAGCAGAGCATTCCAACCTGCCATTTATTTTCATCAGGGTTTCTCTCCTGGCCATCCACCAAATCAAAAACAGCCACGGATGTCACAATTTATCCGGGGTTGACAAACCCTCCAGGTTTTGTGGTCTGCGAGGGTCTCAGAGGAAAGCAAGCTGGAAGGACGGTCGCATACCAGCGAAGCCACGAGGCATTCGAATGTCCGGACTGCCAAAAGCCCTGCCAGCACGGATCAAAGGCTAGCGCTCTGTTCCGGCAGTGGCCGGCCAGTCGCAGATGCAAGGCCAAGGAAAACCTGCCTGGAACAGCACCCTCTTGCCCATGTTCCCCAGCAGCTGGTTGTCAGAGATCCAGTGGGAAAGAGTGCGGCTCTGGGACTCAAGCGAACTGGTTTCAAGTCCCTGCTAAGCTATGGAGCCAACTGGGGGATTTTGGGCCAGTCACAAACTCTCAGCCAACCTACCTCACAGGGCTGTTGTTGTGGGGACAAGATTGAGAGCAGGAAGAGGGGAATGTGAGCCACTTTGAGTTTGTTGCAAGAAAAAAGCAAGATATAAATCTAATTAATTAATTGAACAGATGCATGAGGCGAGACTGAGGGAACTGGGTCTCCAGCTTAGAGAAAAGGAGACTCCGAGGGGACCTGTTGGCGACATACAGGAATGTGAGGGGGTGTCACACGGAGGTGGGTAGAGACCTGTTCTCCCCTGCAGAGGAAGGCAGGATGCGCTCCAACAGAGCAAAGCTCAGGGAACCAGGGTGCCATTTAGATGCCAGGAAGCACTTCCTGACAGTCAGGACCCCCAGGGTGTGGAATGGGCTTCCCCAGGAGGAGGTTGAGGCCCCATCAGTGAGGGTGTTCAGACAGGCTGGACATGCACATGGTGGGCATGTTGTGAGCAGAGCCGGCTGGAGCCGGGGGTCAGACTAGATGGCCCAGGAGACCCCTTCTGACTCGCTCTGTTTCTATGTACGACGGCACACTGCTCTGACATCAAGAGGAACTTTACAGCCATTGGGATTCAGGGCCACACTTAATCTTTTCCCACATAAGAAACCATTTGATTTAAGTCATTGAAAGAACAAGAAAGACATTTCCAGGCCTGGCACCTAGGATTTGCAGCTGTGCAACCTGATAAACTGAACGTATGAAGCTGTCTTTCAGTGAAGCCTGAACACAGAGGTGTCTATACACCGTTATTTAATTAACGTACTTCTAGGCTGCTTTTTAGAGCTTCAACCTTGCAGAGTTGCTTGCACGACACTACAGAAAATGCATGGCTGCCTCCACTAGCAGAAATTGTCAAGAGGCAGAACTTTGTGGCTTCCTCAGCTTATCTGATGTCATAGGATTTCAGTAGGGGAAAAGGGAAAAAACACAGTTCGGAACGCTGGTTAAGGAAAAGTGGGTTGGAAGAGACCTCCATGGCCAGCAATGTTGGCTTTCAGAACAGGAATGGCAAATTCTAGGAACGCCATTCCTTAAAATAACTCATCCTTTCTTTCTTTTTTCTTTTTTCAAGGCATAAAAGTACTGTTGTGGTTCCTTTTTGCTTTCTGCAGAAACAAAGACATTTGCTTCAATGCAACACACAGTTCAAGGCATATATCCATGTCTGGAGGAGGACAAAATTGATCTAAGTGCCATGGGCTTCCACACACTGATCCCAAGTCTTGGCTCATGTGATTCCGGGACAGCAGAAGGCAACTGACGGATGCTGCCCCTATGACACCCCAGAATACAAGCATCCTATGAAAACTATGAACGGGTCACTGCCCTAGATGAGCCAGAAAAGAGGCCAAGACAGTCCTACCTTTTAAAACTTGCTGGGTAAGCTGGTAAACTGACCTGCTATTGATGAATGAATGGCGTGAAAGACCAACACCAGCACCAGCGAAAAGGAAAACATTTTGCTGTTTTCAGAAGCACAAGTCACTTCAAACCAGCCATTTTTCCTGTCCCCAAACCACAACTGCTGCTATACTGGTTCTTCACAAGCTCTAAAGCCCCAGTCAAATCCAAAAGCATTCCTACAATGTCTGATGATTATGCACCCTCTTAGCATGGGCTAAGGATTCTGCAGAGTCTGTCCCACGGGGGGGGGGGGGGGGAGGCATTTGTGATCTCGGCAGGAGCAGCTATATGTGATGGCTAGCCACACTTTCCTGCCCTGCCCCTTAGTGAGGCTTCTGGGGCCAGGCTCCGGCCACCACTCTTCCCAGCCAGGTTCTCTGCAAATTATTTTGCTGTGACCCGAGTCTGAAAGATGATTGTGTACCATCCGGTCCCTCCAAAACTCCAAATGAAAGCTCTCATTTATCAAACATTGATTATTGGATTCCCCCCCCCCAGCAATAGTACACAAGGAAGCAGCTTGTTTTTCTTTTATTTTTTTGCTTGTGCATTTACCCAGAGACCACCTGTGTTTTCTTCTTACTGGTAGTTCTTCCAGTAAGCAAGCCCAGCTTTGCAAATAAACCCAGAAAAATTTACTAACCCGGAAAAATGTGTTGCTGGCTGGCTGCCCACAAGTGTCTATTTTTGTCCTGTATAGCCTAAAAAAAAAAGGCACAGAGGGGGGAAATTTACAAATTCTGATAGGCTTTTATGAATGAATGCCTGCAGGCAGTCCAGTGCAGGGAAGCTGATACTGTCTGGTTAAAAGACATGCACTCAGAATTTAGAGGCAGGAATTTGTTCTGCATTCCAGAACTGAAAGGAGCGCCCTGGCTTTCAACACGTGTCCAAGCGGCTAAGAGCGCAGGACACAATCTGGGTTCTAGTCCGCTCACTGGTGACTCAGGGCCAGCTGTAGACTCAGCCCCACCTACCTCACAGGGTTGTTGTTGTAGAGGCAAGACTGAGAGCCGAACGATGTCAGCGGCTCTGTTGTTTAAAAGAAAAAACGTGGGATATAAATCTAATAAATAAGTAAATAAATATAATGTACCTCACAGGGTTGTTGTTGTGAGGATAAGTCTGAGCGGAGGGGGAGAATTACGCAAACTACTTGGAGTTCCTTGGAAGGAAATATCATAAATAAATATAACGAACAAATGAAAAGATAAAAATAAAAAACAGTGTGAGTTAGGGTGGCTGGTAAGCTTTTTGGTGGCTGTCATTTTTAATCAGCTGGATGCTGGTACTCAACGCTGATCTATTATTATTAATATTGCTTTGCATTTATATCCCACTTTTTCCCCTCTAGTGAGAATCGAAGGTGGCTTACATCGGTCCACTTGATCCTTCCAACAACACCCCAATGAGGCAGGGGAGGCAGAGCGTGTGTGAGCGGCCCAAAGTCATCCAGGGATCTCCCGGGTCCCCAGTCCAACACTAACCATCACACCAAGCCACGCCTGCAAATGATCCACTGCAAACTCAGCTGCGTCCCTACCTGGAGAACGATTGCCTGGCAACAGTGACACATGCATTGGTTACTTCCTGATTAGATTTCTGTAACGCGCTCTACGTGCGGCTGCCCTTGAAGACGGTCTGGATACTTCAATTGGTACAGAATAATGCTGCCAGGTTGCCAACAGGGGCTGGGTATTGTTCTCATATAACCCCAGTCCTCCGTCAGCTTCACTGGCTCCCCATTGAAGTCCGGGTCCAATTCAAGGTGCTGGTTATCACCTACAAAGCCCTGAATGGCTTAGGTCCTGGTTACCTAAGGGAGTGCCTGCATCCATATATGCCCTCCCGCCCCGAGATCGGTGGCAGAGGCCCTTCTCCGGGAGCCCTCCGTGAAGGATATTAGGTGGGTGAGTACCCGGAGGAGGGCCTTCTCTGTGGTGGCGCCCCACCTATGGAATGCGCTCCCCAGAGAGGTCTGCCTGGCACCGTCATTATTTGTTTTTCGGCGCCAGGCCAAGATCTTTTTATTTAAAAGTTATTTTAATTGTTAACTGTTGACTATTTATTTATGGGGTTTTATATTGTGCCGAGATGACTCCGGGTTTTTAAGGTTAATTGTGAGTATAGTTTGTTTTGTAAGCCGCCCCGAGGCTCTTTGCGAATGGGGCGGCATAGAAATATTTTAAATAAATAAATATACAAATAAACTCCCCAGGAGTCTTCACCGGCCCTTGGGCTCTTGCTCTACTCCCTTTTCGCCAAACCACCTCAGGACAGCTTGCACAGAAAAGGCATACCCAAAAATAACATTAAAAACAGGGAACAACTGCAGCAGAAAAGCAGAAAATCTGGCAGGTACACAAGCGGCAACTGAGGCCAGTGAAAGGGGTTCCTAATTTCTCAGAAGCCATCCAGGACCTGGGAGAAAGGAAGGTGCCAGGTGAACCGGTCCAGGGATGGAGCCGTCCACAGACCACACCCTGGGGCATCTGCTTCACCTTCAAAGACAGGCCAGCTGGTGGGTCCCAGTGATGCTAATTCGGGTCATCTGCATGGAATCCCTGATTTTGTACAAACGGATTCAGCTAACAGTTGTGCAAGGAGCGATGCAATACGAAGACTGCTCGGGAGATTTCACTGGCCTATTGTATTTTCCAAGCTGGATTAAAGCTTCGGTCGTGCGGTCAGGTTCACCATAAGCTGCAGCCATCAATACTGCCCTGCATGATCCATTCTCACCCATTTTCACTTCTCCACGAACCAGAACACGAGGGGTTAACATACCAAGATACCAGACATGCCAGTCATTTTGAGTGGGCAGCCTGCCCGCGAAGGAAGGCTGTTTTAAGATAAATAAATATAAAATGTGGAAGATGCAGGGATAACAGAAGATTCATAATAAGAGAAGATGTCAGAGATGTAGGCTGGAAAATTTTCTGTTGCTGAAGTTCATTAGTAACAACGAATGGATGCCAAGCGCAAATGTGTTATTAGTCAAACAAGCGGTGCTAAAGTTGTAATCCCCATTTTCAGTTTATTATCCTGAGCAAGGTTTCAGAGAATACTTGTGTGTCATAATCCATATACGATTCCATGTGAAATGGCACGGATGAGTAGCAAACTGAAGGTGTAATTTATTCCAATAAAAATGTATATATAATATCACATATAAATTACATTAGGTGGGCTTTAATTCACCACTTCTTCCCCGATTGTTTCAAGTCAACTCTTGTGGCCTATGAGGACAAAAAATTCACATGGGTTGCTTTTCAAAAGGGAGTTAGGAAATGCGTTCCATTTAAAGTAAACATATAGTAATAATAATTATCAAATCTTTTTTGTTTACTAAATTCAAGGGAAAACATGCTAAGTTCTTTATAGTACCCAGGGCTCCAGAGAACTTTCTGATGCAACCTGAGAAGCTTCTCTTGCAAATTATCCCATGAAGATGAGAATGCACAGGAAACATTTCCAGTGCAAAATTTACTGGAACGGGCAATGGCATCAAGACCACAGTGTTGAGAACAGAGGATGACGCTTGGCGCCATGGGGGCTACCGAAATTTACCTCCCCATAATGGTACATGGGGGAAGACATAGGAGCCAAGGGTCAGGTTTTGCAACCTGCTGCTCCTGAAACTCTCCTGAAAGAGGCTTGGGATCAGAGAGGCCCTGCATGCATTTCCCTGGATGGGGCAGAAAGCAAAGCTCTCTTCAGTTCATGCTGATCCAACGTTTTATTTATTTATTTATTCATTCATTCAGCGCTTTTCTAGGCCGTCCATCTACTGGCATCTTGGGACAGTTTACAGCAAGCAACAGAGAAGCATGATCCAGACTGGGGGCTGGAGGGCCTGGTGCAGCCAGGTATGCAGGGGGCAGGACCAGAGTGCACAGCTAGGACTCTCTGCCCCACTGAATCCCCCACACATTTTGCATAATGCCTGGGCAGAGCAGAGGTTGCAGAAGCCCAAGAAGCCAAATCACAGACAATTTGGACTCCTAATATATGCGGGGACCCACACAAACACCCTTCACTCCAACTGAGTTGCTGCTGGCTCATGTATATGCTGTATTTATATCCGGTAATTTTTCTGCAAGGAGTCGAAGATGGCTTACATGATCCTCCTCCTCTATGATTTATCCTAACAACAACCCTATGAGAGTCTGTAAGTAGCCTAGAGTCCCCTAATGAGCCTCATGGCTGAGCAGGACCAGAATCTGGGACACTCTGGTCACTATACCACACTGGCTCTCATCCTGTTTGACAGCCTTCCCCAGCCTGGTGGATGCTGGGTGCTGTAGTGAAACACACCCGGTGGAGGGCAGCAGGTTCGGGAAGGCTGCTGTTGCTATCACTGCCTAAAAAAGGAAAAAGTGAAGCAAAAAGAGGCACAAACCCCCAAAAGCCGGCTTCCCACCAGATCACCAAGAAGTTTTCTGTGCTGGTCAAAAACATTTTTACCCATCCTGACATTTGAAACTCTATTAGCTAATGCGCTATTTTTGCCCCGCTGCTCTAACTTTATGGGTGATTATGCTGCAGGCATTGTCTATGTTTATTCTGTGGTACAGCAGATCTAGGAGAATTAAAGGCAGTATATAAAAAATTCCAATAAAGAAATGCCCGCTTCCCAAAATGAGAAGCTGTTGTTTCTTAAAAGAAGACAAGTTGCTGGAGAACACACACACAGGGCTGGCGGATTATTTACCCTTGTGTTGTTAACCTCTGTAATCCTCCTTTAAGATTGAAATCATCAAGCACGGAGGCCCAAAAAGTATATTTATCGAAGACCAGCAACACTACTGGGGCAGATAAGCACCTATTAATCACTAGTTAAACCTCTATAAAAGACAGCTTAAAGCGAGTCAATAGCTATTTAATCAGCATTTCCCCTTAGACAAAATGGAACGCATTTCCTAACTCCCTTTGGAAAAGCATTCCTGAGTGGTGTAGCAGAGAAGCTTCCAAAGAGACAGGAAGGAAATGCACGCCAAATAGACTATCTGTTTCAAAGAAGGTTGTTCATGTGCTTTGTGCCAAGATAACCTACATGCCAAGAAGAAATCTAAATTCAGCATGCAACATAAATTATTCAAATGACTAAAAATAACATGGAATTCAAATTTTAGGACCACTGCCAACAATCCCAGGCACGTATTGGCAGCATATGTATCTATATCTATATCTGCATCTATAATATCCCTCATCTACATATAGATGGATTGGGAGCTAAGAGATCCGATGCTGAGTCTCAAACATTTGAAAAACCAGCATCAAAGAATTTCAGCATTTTCCCCTGAACCCTGGAAACTCACAGCAAATGCAACAGCTATTTAAAGACCAATCACCGAGGAGCAGAATGGAGGCAGGAGGAGAGATGGGTACATGGAAGGGATTAAGCTGAATGTGGGCAAAGGAATATCATTCCCAGCCCTGGTTGGAGACAAGCGACTGGGTTGGGGTGGGGGGGATTCCAGTCCGTGGCAGAGCGCTGGATGGAAGAGTGGGCCCAGAGAGAGGCTGCTGTGCAAAAGGCAAATTCCATGTTTAGCATAGTAAGGAAAAGAATTGAAAATAAAACTGTCCATATCCTAACTCCCCCATCTATTCTGCATGAGGTTGTGTGCTGTTCTGGTCACTGCCCCCCAAAAGGCTGATACAAGCTTGGAAAAGGTGCAGAGAAGGGCAACAGAAAAGGTGGTGCGGTTGCAACCAACTCCCCTACAAGGAAAAGTTGCTACATCTGGGATTACTTAGTGCTGGAAAAAAACTACCAGGGAGAGAACTGAGAGAGGCAGGCAGAATTATGCTTGGTGTGGAGCGAGCGGAGAGGCAGTAATTTCCCTCTCTCCCCCGGAAGACGAGAACCCAGTGGGCCACCTCATGTCTCCATCCCAGCTCTGGCCGGATCATTGGGAGATTCAGGACAGATAAAAGGAACTCCGGTTAATCTATGGAATTCACTTCCGCAGGACGCAGTGAGCGCTTCTAGTTACCAAGGTGACTTGCCCAGGTGAGCTTTGGATGTTGGGTGGCATGGAAATTAATTAAATGCACCAGTTGCTGGGGAACATGGGGGGGGGGGTGCTGTTGCCCTCATGTCCAACCTCCGTTGACAAATGCTTGCCCGCTGTGAGAACTGAATGTTGGACGAGGGCAACAGCACCCCCCTCCCACGACTTTGGTCTTCTGATGCTCTAATGATTCGGCACAGGACAAGTAAATCCCCTGGAATCTTGAACTGAAAGGTACAGGTGAGAGGAAAGGAGATCGCCAGAAATATTGCCAGTTCGTCCTGCTTTCCATGGAGAACAAATAAAGGATGCACAAACAACCCGGAGCCTTTTGTGTCCTACGGATGGTCTAAGAGGGGAAAAAAAGGCGAAGAGGCAAAACTGGCAGTCTGTAAATGCCCTCCTGTTTTGTCACTGAGATGTTTCTTGCTTCCCACAATGGACAAATGGTTATGGACAAGCTAAAAGTAGTTTTTTAATCCTACCCTGCAGGAGAGATGGATGGACCTGTCACTGTCAGTTCCTCTCATTTGTCCAGTCTTAAATTTAGTTTGTCCTGATGGTTGAGGTCATGTATATTTTTGTGTGCATTTCTCCAAACACATGGGGCTTTGCCTAATAGAAACATTTCTGCAAGCAATTATCCAGTTTATGTTTTGTTTTAGTACACATGCCTCTTTTACACACTTTCCCCTAACTCTGGAATTCTTCTGGCATTTTCTGATTGGAGAACTCCTCTGCAATATTTGGATAAGGGCAAATTCACAAGACTGAGTCTCTGTTTGCTTATTAACTCAGAAGAACATAGGTTCTGGTTAAAATAGGATCAAGTGAATTTTTCCTGAATCCCTACTGTATGTCTTCTACAGTATCGTGAATACAGTCTCCTGGAATCTAGTTACGCTGCAATCCTATGCAGGTTTAAACTAGAAGCAGTGGGCCCCATTTCTGTCTAAACCTGCAGTGCTGCACATCTGGCTGCTAAATTTAAGGTTACCACTTCACTGCACCTCTTTTGGAAGCATGCAAAACTACCAAGAAAATCTGTTGCAGAACATGTTGCAATGCTATCGGTCACAGAAGGGAAACCTGCCACCCGCACTTCTTCTTTTCTGTCTCATGTGAAAGATGAATGTGAAATCTGTGATACGCTTGTCGGCAGTGCAAAATTTGGCAGTGACATCAGCAATGAAAAGGGCTGTGCATTCTCACCAAGTCTGTGCAAATTGTGCACATTTTAAGAGAGAAAGGAGCATTTAATCAGAAAATAAGGGAGAAACCTTCCTTACTGTTTTCAGTGGCCTCTATGATACTCCGTGAATTAAGATGAGGATTTCCTTTCTTTTTCTGTGTATTGGCTCACTGCTGTGCTAACTAAAACAAGAACGGAGGACATGTGTATACCCCACAAAACCTCGCAGGGTCCAAATCAGCAAGTCCAATCTCTGTCTTTACTTCCCGGTGCTCCAAGGAAGCTTTTCAAACCTCCAAGCTGAAAAACTGCACGCATTTCTTTGGTCTTCTGATGCTCTAATGATTCAGCACAGGACACGTAAATCCCCTGGAATCTTGAACTAAAAGGTACAGGTGAGAGGAAAGGAGATCGCCAGAAATATTGCCAGTTCATCCTGCTTTCCATGGAGAACAAATAAAAGATGCACAAACAACCCGGAGCCTTTTGTGTCCTATGGATGGTCTAAGAGGGGGAAAAAAGGTGAAGAGGCAAAACTGTGTCAGAAATGCAGATCCTGCCCTTTAGTCCTACTCCCCAGTGAAGCGAGGACTCTTCATGGTCAGTCAATACAGAAGAAAATTTACTTTCCACATGCCCCGAGGCACTCACGCCTCCATCTTCCCAGACTTCAGGATTACACTGAGCTCCAGGAGCGAGTCCCTTCCCAGATCAAGTCCTTCCTGAGGGCAGATGCTTCCGACATTTCAGACTCGCTGCTCAGAGCGGATTCACATACTGGAGATGCGTGCCTCTCTTCACCCGGGGAAGGCTTTTACAGAGGGAGAACCTGCAAGTACCCTGAAAAGTGTGTTCTCTTTTCTGTGCTTCTTTGAAATATAAGACTTCTGCACACAATGCTGTGTAGGGAAGAAACATGCAGTAGCTCTCCTGAGTCATGAAGTCCTCTTGAAGAAGTTGCTCTCCTGGCCAACGGAGCGTCTTGGTTGCTCTGGGAGTGCCAGAACCTGGGAAGGTACAGTCTGCCACCAGCCAATGGAGCCCACGTCAGCAGTTCTCATGCCAGGTGGCTCTCCACCATGGTCTACCGGGGTTGAGTATTGGTGGGCTGCTGCTGGACCGTGGATTGTCCTGTTGTCTGAAGTGAGCTGTGCTAACAGCCTACAGTTCACAACCCAGAAATCAACCATGGGTTATCTTTATGGGTTGTTTGCATTAACAAGCCATGGCTTGTTAGTGAAGCTGGATTAGACAGCAGAACAACCCCTGGTTCAACAACCCCCCCTTGGTTCAATCCTTGAGTGCTGTCCGAGCCCACTCACAGCGTCTTTCCCCAGCACCTGCTATGCTTTAACTGGAGATACTGGGGCTTGGGTCCGGAGCCATTCCCTGGAATCAGCCCCCAGGGAAACATGCCTGGCGCCAAAACACTATCCTACAATTTGAATGCAACCACGTGCAAGGACACAACGGCTGTGTCAGATCAATCCAAAGGTGTATCCAGCCCAACCAGCTGCCAGCAGAAAACCCATGACCCACAAGTGGACAGCACTGTACCCCCCAAGTTCCCCAGCAACTGCTGCAGAGAGGCATCCTGTCTCAGATACTAGAGGAGGTGTGGAGTCCCCAGCCCCAGCAGCCATCCAAAGCCCTCTCCTCCATGAATTTGCCCAGTCCCTTTTAAGGCCATCCAAATAGGTGGCCCTCACTGCATCTCATGCAAGCGAATTCCAGTCTAAGTTCAGCATGAAGAAAGAAAGAAAGAAAGAAAGAAAGAAAGAAAGAAAGAAAGAAAGAAAGGGAAGGGAAGGGAAGGGAAGGGAAGGGAAGGGAAGGGAAGGGAAAGGAAAGGAAAGGAAAGGAAAGGAAAGGAAAGGAAAGGAAAGGAAAGGAAAGGAAAGAAGACAGACAGACAGACAGACAGACAGACAGACAGACTTCCTTCCGTCCGTCCGTCCGTCCGTCCGTCCGTCCTTCATCTGTCCAGAATCTCCTTCCAATTTGCTTCCCCACTGGCATCTAGCATTACAAGAGAAGAAAGGAACGGCCGTCCATTTCCCCACCACATTTTAAGGACTCTGTGGCGAAAAGCATATTTAAAGGGCAGACCTCCAAGTTCAAAGCACACGCATTTAGTCCACAGACTTCAGTGCTACTAGATCAGTAAAATGAACCTTCGCGGCCTTCGTTTTGGATGTATTTTACCAGTGTGCCATACCACTGGCTCGGATCCTCACAGCGCACCCGGTCAGAGTATCTTCTGCAAACATCTGGAACGCTGCCTCCCCAATTTCACCACTTTATAATGCGCTGGATGAGGGCAGGACGGATTAATTTAAATTACGTTTCCCAAGGAAACCTTCTTATACATTTCCCAAACAGCTGAACAAATCTGACCATTAAGCCATGTTCATTTGCAGTTAGAGGTATTATTTAATTCCATTTCATCCTTACAAGCAGACTTTGCATATCTTCATCTCAGGATATAAATTTTATATGCTTTCCTTTCAACTACAGAGGGAAAGTCTTTACAGTATTCCCATACGAGTCTTTCTTGCATCTAGCATTGTTCTGTGAGGTTAACAGCAGAATCCAGTGCCAGTCTCCTCAGGAGCAAGTTATTCTGCATTCAGTGGGGCTTACTCCAGAGAATGCAAAACATGCACGCTGAACTATTTTCTTCTTTTTCTCACCACTGTTGCTCTTTTCTTGTCTTAACCCAGCATTGCCCCAAGAAAAAATGAAATGTCCATGACTCATAAGCCAAAGCAAGCCTTGGGAGTTACAGGGCCGAACAACTTAGATTTACATGTTTCAAAATACATTTCTGAGGGTATTTAAGCCACTCATTTTTATCCACTTGAGTTGTCTTTGTGTCTTCACTAATCAGTAGGTAACCTCGTTTTTAGCATGAGATCCAATTCTAACTGTATTATCTTTTAAATTAGAGAAAAAGTTTGGTCGCTCATTATGTTCTTTCATACATTAATTTAAATAAATCAATCCAGTTTTTTTATTCTTCCATTTTTATTCATCCTAATGAGAACTAGCTGGGAGCCACATGAGAGAGGCCTGGGCATATAAGGAAATTTAAAAAGAAAAAGCACCCACTCCCTGTACACGCCCTCCATCATGCCTCCCGAACTCCAAAATGCCAGTCTCCAAGCATCTCTCCAAGCTGGGATTTGGCTCCTTTATGCTCCTCACAAACAGCGCAATCCACACCAAGCGGATGAATAAGAAAACACAAGCATGCACAGAAGTCACTAACCTTCAGCTACTCTATCTCACAGGGTTGTTGTGAGGCTAAAATGCAGAGGAGAGGGCTGTGAGTCACCCTGGTCCTTGCAAGGGAAGGAAATGAAAGAAAATTAGGTATTCAATGCATTCTGTCACCCTGAGCAGTTGGAACTGAGTTTGGTCTTTGCGCCTGGAGTCCCAAGATAAGGTTCTGGGCAGGGTTGGAAGCTGAGACATTTTGGTAATGCTCCCATATTCTGAGTATCAGCTCACAAGACTTAAGCAACCACCAAAGGAGAAGATAAATGCTACATATATGTGTGTGTGTGTGTGTGTGTGTGTGTGTACAGCATGCATATTAATTACTCCTGGAAACCTCATAGATTTATCAGCTGAAGCCAAAATGAGCACACAGAAAAGAAGGCAAAATCCTCAATGGGGAATCCTTTATAAACTCACAGCTGGAAACAAAATTCCAGGGGAGAATTCCAGCAGAAGCTTGCTGCTCCTTCAGCCTTCCTCAAACAGAGAGCCCCCATGGCCGGGTTCCAGCAGGACATGAGGAAGAACTGATACAGGAATCCAAGAGGCAGCTGGGCAGCCATCTGCGAGGGGTGCTTTAACTGGGAGTCCTGCCATGAGCTGGACTGGATGGCCCTCTTGGCACCTTCCATCTCTACTATTCCACGAATCTACGATTGTAAACTAAACCCAAGCTTAGATGGGGAAACGAAAAGTGATGCATGGTTCTTGGGAGCCATTGTGCACACCTAGCTAGTGGAAGGGGCTGCGGAGAAGCACAAACCGGAGGGCTCAGGGTTGGCTCAGGTTTTTAGGATTATGGAAAGCTCACAAAATGCAGCTCACAGACAGCCACTCCAAGTTTGAGAGCCCAAGTTCGAAGCCAGTTTTAAAACTAACACAAGAACTCGTCTCTTCTAAACCACCCCCTTCATGTGCTATCCCCTTCCCACCGATCATTTTGTTCCCCATGGAAGAGAACCATGCCCACATTTTTCCTGTTCATTCGCAGATGAGACGGACTGGGAGTTCATCCTTGGCCTCCTTGCTTTTCAGACGAAGTCCTGGCCAACCTACCCAGAGCTTAAAAAGGAGGCAGGCCAGCAAAGGAGCCTGGGGAGTCCCAGGGACAAAACATCAGCACACACGGGTTAAGCCACACATGTGAGTTTGGCAACAGGGTGAGGAGGCCAGGGTGGGAATCTGCCATCTTTCTCGTAGTAACTGCTGACTAATAACGCAAAACATTCCACACATACTTTCTGCTGGTGACAAATGAGCAGAACAAACCCAGCTAAACGACGACAGTAACAGCCCATTATGAAGGAGGAAAGCTCACAGAATGCATGGGGGCAAGCTGGCATTTGCCAGCCAGGCTGAAGGGAAGGCCGTGTGCTCAGGGTTACGAGGGGCTGACTCTGGGAACAGGTTCATTCCCTGGAAGCCAAGAGGGCTGAACTGGGGAAGGCCAAGATGCTGGCTGAGAAGATGCCCAGGAATTAATGTCCGACCTTCCGGGTGGCAGCTCTCCTGCTGCCATAGAAAGTGGGGGTCTTGCGGAAGGCGGGCATCATTCCAAGGACAAGGGAAATGATTCCTCAGAAGGGACCCATTCCATCTTCTAACCGTCTTCTAATGGGAAGGATGAGCCCCAATCAGTGGAAGATTTGATCATCAGGCACATTGGCTTGGTTCAGACAACACAAGTGGCTTTTTCTGTTTTCTTTACCACGGCTGCTCTGTTCTGTTGTCTGAACTCAGTTGTGATATTTCACCATGGCAGGTCTGGTCTTTGGAAACAACAACAGGAAACAACGGTTTATATACTATGGCTTTTCTGAACCACCATGGTGGGTTGTGCTGTCCGTACCCAGCAACATGATTTCAATGGTGCTGGTTACCACACAGTCTCCTGGTAAGCGTAGTAACTGCCAGAGATACGTTTGTCATCCAGCTTCTACAAGGAAGAAGCCAACAACACAGGCAGGGAGCAACGCCCCTCGGGCCTGAATCTCAGTTGTGGCGGCTAATGGGATACACACTCACAGAAGGGGGACTGAACAGGAAGAATGGAAGCCACTTGATTGTCGAACAGACCATGGTAAAAAACCACGGACCCTTATAATCATACAGGTTGCCTGTCACGTTGTGTGAATGTAGCCACAGAGCTGGACACCTGTATCACATGGTAATTTGCCTTCCTGTTGCAAAGATTGTGGATATCATGTTATCTAGATACCTCTGTAGGTACTGCAGGATTGGAGGCAGTGGTCACGGTCCATACTGGCACCAATAATGAAGCCAAATGTAGCCAGGAGGTCCTGGCAGCCAATTTTAGGTTGCGAGGTAGAAGTCTGAAATGGAGGGCCACCAACGTGGCTTTCTTTAAAACGTTACCTGCAAATGCAGGGCCAGCTAGACCGGCATGGCTGAGAAGCCTCAGCGTGGCAATGAGATGGCAACGGGGAACATTTTGAGACGAACTGTGACTTTACTGGAGAGACCAGATTCCACTTGAGTCGAACTCTTACCAGGCTGCTGGCACAAAACATTAAAAGTGGGCAGGTAAGCTTTTAAACTAAACCTTGGGGGAAAGGCGACAGGAGGTAGGAAGTATCCAGTGCAGACTAAATCATTCCTAGCGGATGAAGGGGAGCAAGTTTCTGATTGCCCAAATGCAGAAGGGGAGGAAATACACCATGAAAATATCGTGTAATGTGATAACCAGTCAGAAAGCCTTAAGCACCAAAACAGAAGTCACACATGCCAGAGATTTTTTGAGAGGCGCACTTAGAAGTTTCTATGTAAATGCAAAAAGTTTCAGAGCCAAAACAGGGGAGCTGGCGTGCCTGGTTTTACAGAAGAACCTAGATAGTGTGGATATGATAAACCAGGTGGAAGAGAGAGAACAGTGGGATACAGTCATCTCTGGAGGTAAAGCGTATAGGAGGAAAGTAGAAGGGCATCTTGAAGGAGGGTCACCTTAGAAGGTGCGAACCACTCCATGGAAGCACTGTGCGTGATGGTACCTGCCTCCAGACCAACGCAGTCCTTGGCGCGTGGTATTGTCCCACAGAGCAGAATGCTCAGGGCGCTCTTGAGACGGAAGATCGGGATATGTTACAAAAATCCTTAGCTTTTAAACCTGAGGTTTCCTTATTAGGCATTATACCTGTTGATATTAGTAAACAAGAAATGTACTTGATTTTACATGCAATTACTGCGGCGAGGATTGCATTTGCTCAACGCTGGAAAAGTAAAGAACCACTCACCAACGAACTGATCCTAAAAAAGATCTTGGACTGTGCAGAAATGGATAGACTGACTTTGTCATTGAAGGAGAAGGAAGATACTGACTTCTATCAAACTTGGGACTCTTCTTATTATCAGCTAGAGAAATGGGACTTCGTATGGATTTAAATATGTTTTTAAGTTATCACAATTAGAAAAAAATGTGGGGGCTGACCCAGCACGTCCGATGTTTCTGATGACTCACGTTGTTTTTAGTTTTCTTTTGTTTTAGGGTTATTTTGAATAAAACTTATTATAAAAAAAAGAGAGATGGAAGATCCAATCAGGGAGGCCTCCCAAGCAGGAAGTGTTGTAATAATGTGGGGAGACTTCAGCCACCTCCACACTGACTGGATAAATGCATGTTCCACTTCTGACAAAGAGGTTAAGTTTCTCAATGCTCTAAATGATTGTGCCCTGGAACACGGAGTCACAGAACTCACCAGAGAGGAAGCAAAGCTGGCGTGGTCACCCCAGGACCTCGCACAAGATGCAGCTGGAAAGAGTGACCACAATGCCGTAAGATTTAATGCAAACCTTCTAACAGGAAGATTGCTAAAGAGGTTCATCACAGTCGCGTTTGACTTCAAAAGAGGAAAGTTTCCTAAAATGGGGGAACTGGTAAAAAAAAGAAGCTGAAATTCAGAAGATCACCAGGATGGTTAGCCAGGTCTGTCAAGGAACCAATTTGAGAAAAGGTTTCCTTTAGAAAATGAAACCTTTGCCCAAATGAGGAAAACAAAAGCGAACCCAAGCACACCCAAGACAGATGCAAGCAGAAGATAAAAGCAAAAAAAAAAAAAAAAAGATAGAAGCAAAACAGCATTTTTGGCACTTAAGAGCAAGGGCAATGATAAAGAACGATTCCAATTTATCAGAAGCTGGAAACCAGCTAGAGAGGCAGGTGGACCTTTGGATGACAATGGAGCTTAAGGAGAAATAAAGGAAGATAAGGAGACTGCAGAGAATCTGGATGGATTCTTTTCATCTCTATCTCTTATCACAGCAGAGATTACAGGACAAATACCTGTTGCTGAACTGATATTTTCAGGATGGGAGCCTTATGAAGATGCTAGCGATAAAAGGTGAAATTCTCAACCTTATAGACAAGCTGCAGGTTTATACATCTCTGACCTTGGTGGAATCCATCCATGAGTTCTTAAAGAACTCAAATACGCAATTGCTGACCGCCTTACAAAAACAGGTTGAGCCACCTCTGTGCCGGAGGACTGAGAATGGCCAATGTAACACCAGTTTTTAAAAAGGGATCCATGAGGGATCCAAGAAATCACAGGTCTGTTCTAGTTATATCGGTTGAATTTATTCTTTTAAAGATAGAATTATTAAGTATATGGAAGGACAAGCCATGCTGGGAAAGAATCAATATGGCTTCTGCGAAGCTAAGTCCTGCCTCACTCACCTTTCAGAGTTGAGAGTGTCAATAAACATGTGGACAGGGGAAACTTGGTAGGCATCCTTTAGACTCCTGAGCAAACTTGGCAGTCATGGAATAGGGTGGCTCTTATGGAACAGTAACTGGTTAAAAGAACAGAAGGCAGAGAGTGGGAATAAATGATAACTTCTCCCAATAAACACTGGGATCCCACAGAGTTCTGTATTAGGAACTTTGCTTTTCAATCTATCCATAAATGAACTGGATTTAGGAGGAAGAAGTGAAGGGACGGCATTTGTGTCTATCAGACTGAACTATTTAGGGTGGTTACAGGCAAAGGCGATTGTGAGGGACCAACCCTAAGGGAATCCCCCCAAGCCGGGAGAACGGGCATCGATACGGCAAATGCAGTTCCGTGTAAACGAGTGCAAAGCAATGCATCAGGGCAAAAAATCCCAGCGGTAGATACAGGCGGCTGGGATCTGAGCTTGCTGTGACTGATGAAGAGAGGGATCTGGGGGCG